AGCCTTGGACAAGGAACTTCTGATCTCTCCGTCTTGGATTTGGTCCTTATTATCGCCTTTGTCAATGGAAGAAGGCGCTTGGGATGATTTTGCCAACAACCTCGCCACTGATCTCGCTCCCCTGATCACCCTCTTCGGCGAGCAGGTCACCAAACAGTATCTAAGCGAGTCCGTTGGGTTTCTCGATACTCTCATCTTTGCTCTAGCCCCTCTTGGCATCCTCACTGCAGTTGTCTCTGCAATCCGAGTCTCTGGGAGTCCTTCCCTGCGTGCATTCATCGGAAGAGCACAAGAAGGTCCTGGAAATGCCGAGGTGGAGCTCTTGTCCTGTACATCCGAGACTACTGCTGAGATATGGAATGATGGTGGCATTGCACGTGTCTTTGGAAAGCCCAATCTCCTAGAGGTTGCGGTTGATTCGAAAGCGGATCCTGAAATCGACTTCGTTTATAAGGCCACCGGTTCTTGGAAAGAACAGGAGATTGAAACTTCAAAATATGACCCAGTACCTACCGCAAGAGCTACATACTCGGAACTCAGCTTCAAAAGAAGCAGCCCGAATCTTTCCTTGAACAAAGGTATCAAAAGGCGGCCTGAAATTTGGTTCTATGGCGCAACTATCCTAGGTTTTGTTATGGTTTGTGGTACGGCTTTAGCATTCGCGAAATTGGAAATTATATTGACACTCAAATACAGGAGTCCTAGTTTTTGGAGCTATCACTGTATATCTGGCCCCTTCCAGGTTTCAACGGGACGGCAAGCCGGTGATGCGATATTCCTATCCTTGCTTCCTAGTCGGAACAATGGGCGTGGACATCGGCATGTTTCTCTGTGCAAGAATCATTGAACAAGCGACTTTGGAGTTGTTCTATAGGCCCACAGAAGATGGAAAAAGTGTCATCTATTGGCTACAGCCAGGTGGGCAGAAAGTTGGAGACCAGGTTTTCAACGCTTTCGCAGGGAGCTTTAATGACGACCCGAAGTCGCAAAAACAACCCTACATCAAGTCGATAAAAAACCCGAAAACACCACGCGCATCAATTTTGTGGCTGGCTGTTGGCGTTACCATGGCTGGATTTGTGTTCCAATTTGTTGGTGCAAGAGGACTTCATGCTTCCGTGACGCTGGCATGGTTAGGCTCAACATTGCTTATGACCATTATCCGGGCAGGCCTTAGAACACAGCGCATGGGGGAAGCAGGAAATTTGATAATGCAGCCCGAGACGGAAAATCTGCCCAAGAACTTTATTTATGGCCACGAACTGGACTGGTTCGCCCTTTATTTGAAAGCGCAGTCCGAAGAGAGCCCACCGTCCGAAGAACGACCATTTCGACTCATCACGAACATAGATTCCCAGAGCTCACGGAGTCCCCACGACTCTGTGGAACAGAAAAGTATGTTTGGCAAGTCTGTTTTGAAAACAAGAGCCCGGTTGGCTGAGCTTACAGGTCCGGAGCAACTTAATTGGGAAGACTTTCCCGTTCGAATAACTGCACAGCAGCTTAAAACCGCCATTGAGGGAACCATGGAGCGTCTGCGCTCGTCTTTGCCAAGCAACAGCAACTTCAAAACCGAAATCGAATGGCCCATTTACATTCAAGAAAGGCGCAATACACCCGTTGATGGAGAAAATGTGGAACATCATGCGCTCAGCCTAAAAAGAAGCCATCCTGATGCCCAATGGCAAGTCAACGTATTGGAGCTGGAAGCTGTACTAGGCCTATGGACCTGGTCACTCTTACACAAGAGTTCGGAAAATCGGACTGGCCAGAGAAATGCCCGCATCCTGTATGAAAGCTCGTTCGACGAGAAATTCTACCTGCCACAAATGGTGCATTGGATTCCATGGGCAGAACTACGTTGGCGCAAGCCAGAAACTCAGCGCGAAAATAATTTCACTTGGATAACAAATGAATATTTCGACAGTCGCCAAAACCAAGATGTCCCATTTGAATTACATGGCTCAACCTTCTACTTGTGCAGAGAAACCGACAATTCACTCCTTCAAGTGGTAGCCCATGATCTATTTATCTCGTTCCTATCCGCCGCACTTGCCAAAGACATCACTCTCAACAATGCCATTGACAATGCAACCAAACTCACATCAACCCCCGATGACATGTATTATAGTGAGAGCCAGACATACCTCATCCATAATCCTGAGATTGACAAGTGGGCTCAGAGCTTCGAAGAAAGCCATTTGGGATCAAGAGAGGACGCATATATGTGCATTCTACCTGTTTTATATCGAAACCCCCATATGCACATGATGCACGGCGGTTTAAAGCTCGTACGTGAGCGAGTCGAAGAATACAAGCGCAAACGAGAGTTTGGTTTGGCTCTTGCGATGCTGGATTGGATCATTAGCACTTTCGAACTTGATAAGAAGGGAAACAAACTCTCCAGTTATAGGAAAACTGTGGTGGAAATATTAGGTGTCTTAGGATGTCCCGACAATAGGTACGCACCCCAGAGTTACTGGGACAAAAACACCTACATTGAGCTCCAGACTTTGCTTGAACAAATTGGTTTGTATTCGTTTCAAAAGTTAGTGGCATGCAGCTGGGAGAAAGCCACCAAAGCGTTTGGGCCACAAATACACTGGGAGAATAATGTTCCGGAACTAATCAACTCAAACGTCAAGGAGGAACAAATCGACGAAATGCTTGAAGGCACGGATAGTTCAAGCCCAGGCCGCTCAAACGAATTAGGACGTGAAGCACTATCTAAAGTGATTCAAATTAGAGATCCAAAACATGTTACAGATGAGAGAAAGGATCTTCCGCATTCGGAGCTTCTGCGATCGGCTTTATGTTGGGCTGCGTCGAACAAGCAGAGAATAGTTTTCTACCTTCTTTTAGAAAAGGGTGATGCAATTGAAAGCCGAGATAACGGAGGATTAACATACTTGTTGTGGGCTTCGCAGAATGGCTATTACAACGTAGTCGAATTCCTCTTGGATGAGAACGCTGAGATCGAGGCAGCTGCCCCTTACTCTGCTCGCGGAATGACCCCCTCAAGCTTCTTTATTTGCGGAATGAACTCTATAATGCTGGCAGTTGGGGAGGGGCATGACAGAGTCGCCACTCTCTTGATTGAAAGGGGAGCAAGTCTCGAAAAAAGGGATGATACAAATCACACGGTGCTTATGATAGCAGCGAAGAGAGGAGCAAGCAACGTTGTCAAACTATTGCTAGACAAAGGAGTAGCCGTAAACGCTACAAGGAAAGATGGGGAAACTGCGCTGTCACTTGCAGTAAGAAATAGACATGAAGAGACTCTCGCGCTGTTAATAGCTGCAGGGGTGAACTTGGACATAAGACATTCGTTAGGGCGAACCGCTCTTATGTATGCAGTTCTATATGAAATGGAAGGTATTATTGAGATCTTACTAAAGAACAACGCCGACATTAACGTAAAGGATCAATTTGGAAAGACGGCACTGGAGTTCGTGACTCCTAACCATCTGTCATATGAGAGAGTGCAACAGCTGTTTAGGGACTGTGTGGCGCAGCGAGAGGCTGTCAAGAAGGAGGAAGGAACAGACCTTTAGACAATGCAGAATTTATAAATGGTGCAACACATAACATATTCTTTGGACTGTACGTCCCGCCGCATGTCTTAAAAAGGTCAGAAAAGCATCATTTTCAAGTTGTAAGATTTAGTAGGTAAAAAACAATTGACCAAAGCTATAGTTAAGGGCTGAATCAGAGCAGATCAAGAGCATAGAATCAAGAGAAAATAGAATGGGCTATATAGCTAGCGCAGAGCCTCTAAGCTACACTCAATTAGGCAGGTGATTTGCGCAACCTATCTATCTCTCAAATCCTATTAGTAACTCCTTTATAATTTCCTAAACCCAAGGAAGAACCAGAGGAATAACATGCTATAGAATACTTGACCCGCCATAATGTCAACACCAATAGCAATCCGCACCGCGCACCCACCAGACTTCCCCGCAATGCTAGCCATGGACCTGAAATCCAACGCCACACACCCCGTCTACACCATTCCCTTCCGCGCATGCACCGCTCCAGCCGCTGCGCTCGAGTCGTTTATCAGGAACCGGTATACGCATCTGTATGAGAGCCAGGATCCGAAATCTGGGTTTCTGGTTGCGACGACGAGGACGGCGGAGAATGGTGGGGGAGAGGAGGAAGAGGTTGTGGGGTATTTGATATATCTGGTTGGGAAAGGTGGGGGAGGGGAAAAGGGGGGATGGAACCCGACGTTTGCAGACGTAGAGGCAGAGGGTACGGATTTGGGGTTTTTCGAGAGGGTTTTTGGGGAGACTGGGGGGGCGAAGAAGGGGTTGGATTTGGAGGGGTGTTGGGGTACGTGATTATTCTACTTCCATTGTGTCCTCGCTCTTTTACAAGAACGAGTTCGTATTCTCGGAATAGAGAGAGGATCTTGCTGATGATGTTGGGGAATTGTAGAACTGGAGGGCTTTGCCGTTCATCCGAAATGGCAGCGTAGAGGGGTTGGGTCTATGTTGGTTAAAAGGTTTCTTGAGACTGTTGATGCTGAGCATGCGAAATGCTATGTGCATGCATCGAGGAGTGGGAAAGCGTTGTATGAGAAGTTTGGGTTTGGAGTGTTGGGTATGGTGAGTGTTGATTTGAAGGAGTTTGGGGATTATGAAGCGTATGTTACTTGGGATATGAGGAGGGAAGCTGTGTAAAAGGGGTCAGGGGAGACACGGTCAAATACTAGTAATCAAATACCACTTAGCTTGTCCGTCCTACTTTAATAGAAGTATGATGCGAGCCGCGGCATATCATTGGCCACCCCGTCTGTAAGGCTTGTAATTGTGACCAGGCCAGGCACGGCGGAGACTAATAAACGACATCCCGTTCTCGGGAGGGGATCAGCAGTCTTCCATCAAGCCAAGCCTGATTGTTCCTCCATTATTAATGCCTCTCTCGGTCTCTCTATATTCCTTTGTTGCAAACGATATGCCTCTAGTACCCAACTACTTGTCACTAATCTCCTCTTCCTACGTGCAGATTCTCTTCCACTCCACGTAGCGCTCCTTTCCTGACACCCCTCCACTCAGCAGCCGGTCAAACTCCTCCTGGGCGCCAGGCTGACCAGGTCGGAGCTTCAATCTGAACGGCCACTTCTCGATAACAGTGTGCTTTTCTTTCATTGCGGCCCCGAATAAATGCGCTGCCTCGGAGGACGGGAATTTTTGTAATAGCCTTATTGCACAATTAGAATCAAGTTATATGAACGTAGAGGGAGGAGACTATTCGTTTGGTCTATGCATACCGCTCGAAAATGTGGTCATAAGTTGCCACAATCTCCCGAGCGATTGAAAACTTGATGACTTCAGGATCAAAAGAACTAGTTGGCATTCCCTTGCGCGGGAGGTACTTGAGAAGACGTTTTGTCAAGCTATGCAGAGTTGAGTTAGCAATTTTGTCTTGGTTGGTTGTATTCTCGTCAACGGCGTTCATCAACAGAGTAATAAGAGTTGCATGTGGGTTGATAAGAGGTCCCTGAAGCAAAGGCACCATCAAGCCAATCGTGCGAGGCAACCCAAGATATCCGCCGTCCGCAACATTGGAGACCTATATGGAGTAGGTTAACATTTACCTAGCCTCGAGGGTCTTCTTACCTCGATTCGGCTGAAAGAACTGTCCTGAAGATGATCGGGAAGGTCAGAAGCATCCACCTGAAAAAGTCGAAAAGATACCTGCAAGCCCGAGAGACGAAGAAAGAAAGCCCGAAGCACTGCGCGAACGTAGTAGAAGAGCTTGCCGTATATGTCAGCAGATGCAGGCCCACTCGAACTGTCTTCAACTTCCTTCGAAGACCACCCGTGAAGAGGATCGGCATTATCATACATCGGCCAGGTGTCGGTACTCTGGAAGAAGGTCCTGTAATCGGTTAGATTTGCGCTTCGTTACACTACCCTGCTTGCTGGCGTCTGTTACTCACGGGTTTGGTTCTCGAAAGTCATAGCGTCGAGATCCAAACGGGAGCAGGAGTCCGTCTTCAGAGAACCGATTCATCGCAATTCGATGGGAAGGGGTTTGAAAAAGTAGATGTCGATCACGATAGTCTTTTCTGCATTTAGCAAGGGTAACGGCTGTACGTATTTGGTTCGCTCGTTCCGCCGTTAAGCCCTCTGGAATGGTCATAGAGAACAAAAGCCTATCCCATGATGACTTTTCCAGCACAAGCCTTAGGGAGCGCTGTCCGAATGTCCACGTCTTTCCTAAGAGGCCACCGGGTGCTTTGTTTTTGATCTTTTCACAAACGCTTTCGATGAGAGGACGAATCTGTTGTTGAAGGATATTGAGATCGGATCTGCGAATGAGAGCCGAGTACCACACATGGATCATACAGTCAATCGCCTCGTCGATGTTGTCGACCACGAGGGCAATTAGAAGCATAATAGCGTTGCGTGCCACGACATCAAGATCACGGTCGTTCATTGTAACGTCGACAGACTGGTTGTAGCTACTAGGGATCTGGGCGATGGTCTTTGCAACATTTCGAAGGTCACCAGAAGCTACCGCGTGATACTTCCTATCAGTTCGGGAGCTGAATAACATCAAGTCAAACTACACGCACCGGCAAACAAGAGATGCAATTGCCCTCCATAATCATCACCTTCGTTGGAGCCAAGTTGAAGAATATCAAGGGCCGGGATATTGCCCCAAAAGTATTTCTTCCCTCCGAATTTCTCCCCCAACCCCTCTCTGACAAAGGCTGGTTTTCGGTTCTCCAGAGACCAGTCGGGATTCCAGGTTCCCTTTCCCAAAGGCGACTTGCAATCTATCTTGTGAAGGGCCCAGTGGGACTTTTGGCAGTTCGGGCCGCAATACTACAAGAACTCTCGTTCAGAAAGGTCCATGCTGCGCAAGAGAGAAGGATTGGGCATGCAAATACCTACCACCACGAGATAACAGTTCTTGCAACTATACCCGCCGACTTTCTTGCAATCAGTGCTATCCAGATCCCAGTTTGCGCAGATGATATTCGGGGTTGCCATTGTGTTGTATTGCTATCCTAAAGGTCAAGGGTTGAGTCGATAATCAATTCGTCAACGTTTGAATACATGTGGTTGTTGATAAGACCTTGAACGTGTAAGTGTTAAACATCAGGTGAAAATCTGAAAGAGAATGCGGCTGCATGAGTGCGGATGACCCCGTCGACGTGGCAAGTGCTGAGAAGTCCATCTTGAAGTTACACAGCATGACGTCGGACAAGGGAACGTGGTTCCTATGGAATATATAGCCTATGGAATGCTAGGGCTCCAGGCCCTATATATACATCCTTTTCCCTAGAAACAACAGAAACACGTAACGTTACCTTCCCTAATGCAACCTCTCTTCTCTCAAATCAATCCAACCATTTAACCTCGAGCGAATTCTTATCTTATACTATACCGCACTGAGTAATTGTTAGTCTGTTACTGGCGCTTGTCAAGCCCTCTAACTCACAATAGGAAAGGTTCTTTGTCGCCTTGAAACTCGTAAACACAACTGCACTGCTAACTGGTAAGTCATATCCTTTCCTTAATAAAGCAGCGATTCTTTATAGCTAACAACTATCCAAGGAGGGCAATACTGTATCAATCATGGGTGAATCTCAAGGCAAGAGAATCTTAACCTATTGCAAAACCATTTGGGGCGAAGAAGACTACGAACTCGACATCGAGACTGACGATTGGGTGACATATATATGCAATGTTAAGAAGGACTTTGGCACGAAGTTTGGGCCACCGCTGACGATGACTGGATTATGCAACTCGAAAGAGCAAGCTTGGAACGAGCTAGAAAGAATGTTAAATGTTTGGGCTAGGCAGGTACAGAGCGGAAAGCCGATGACAAAAGATCAGTCATTGGAAATATTCGGGGGACCGAACGGGTGTAATAAACGCATCTTGAGTATACTTTGGGATGAGCGTGAAAAGAGGAATGGAAAGTGAATTGCGTTTCAATTGAACGGTGCGTGCAGTCCCGCGATTTCTAGCAGCTGACCATGTCTAACATCTTCCAAGGGTCCTGGCTGTGTTTAAAGAGTACCTGGAACCAAGGGCCCTTTCCAATTTACAGCTTCCTGAGCCAGCCATGAGACCTTTTCCCCCGTTTTCGGTATTTCAAGGCTATCAAGAGGGCCCAAAGTAGACAATCGGTAGTTAATATATAACAAGTCCTCTGCTCTCTATTATCCTTATCCATATGGTAGTTAAAGAAGTAAGGGTGATGTAAGGCGTTATTACCCACTCCACGGCAACAATAGCCCGCACGAATCCCTTGCCTGGTCTCAACACCCGATGATTCAGCGTGAATAATACGGTATGTTATAAAAGGGGGAGTTGAGGATATATTTATATAGCGATACTATTTTGCTAACGGAGACGCGAGATGGCTGCCTGCGACTTGGTGAGGTGATAAGAAGGGCCTCTTTATAACTACTTCGGAGAAAGATGATATATCCTTCATTTCGGCTGGCAGGGATGTCGTTTATTTAACTTCCATAGACTTTGGAAGCAACTAAGGTTAATGGTAAATATAAACAGAAATTCACCGCACGCCAAATGAAACAAAAGAAAAAGAACATAAACCAGACATGCACGTGATATAAATCATGTGACTGTATTGTATTGTACCGTAAGAAGTGAGACCCACTTTTCCATCCTTTATCCCATCCCATGATTCCCATCGTCATCTACGAGTACATACTCCGGAGACAGCTCCCCGCATCATGCATGTAAAGCGTCCAGTCCCAGTCCAGTCCAGCCATTCTAGGCAACCCAGTCGAGACCAGACAAACAAGCTTTCGCCATCGTAAACGCGCGTCCGTGCCCGACTGGTGAAACACTAACCATTTCAGGAGCTGAGGCTGCGCCACACTTCATCAGCGGGAGGGATTTGGAATTTTATACGTCTTTCTTTGAGTTGATGATACTATACAGTATCGAATCGGATGTACAATAGGATTTCAAGCTTGAATTCCATTCAGACAAGAGAGAAGAGAGAAAGAGGAGGGAAGAAGACGCTAACAAAGACGTTAGATGGATGGACGTTGCCAAGAGATATATGGCTGAAGTGGCGCTCGTAGGCTGGGTTGGCGATCTGGGGTCAGCGCCCTTCCCGAGAATGTACTTCGTACCCGGTGCAACGCTAATGGGTGCATTGGTGATGACGGTGAGTTAGGCGCCGGTAAGGTGGCGAGGTGGGAATGAATGTCATGTTATGGTTGGGGAAATGCTTCATATCCTGCAGTTTCAAGAGTTTTGTTTCGTGGTAAGCCATCCTGTATCACAGGTTTTGGCATTACAGATGGTGCGGACATCTCAAGTGGTAAGCGCTTTCTGTAACAAAGGCTGTTAATAGATCTGCACTTCCGGTTGAATGAAACGTGCGTGCACAGGCATAAAGTACAATCAATACCCTACTCGAAAGTGATGGCAACTTTCTTTCACTCTTTCTTTTCTCTCTCCCGACTGATACAGTATCCACCCATAATATACTGTACAGTAAATTCACTGTAGATCAGCACGAAATCGGCTCGGATCCAGGGGTTGGAAAGCTTGGCTTGTTTGTCCGGCTGTACCCTGCGCCTGCTTTTGAAATCATTCCCCGGGGTAACCAACCAACCTACCTCGTACCTGTGATCCACCCAACTCACACTCCGGCCCGCGTCATACATCAAAGGACTCCTTACCTTTTGCCTCCTCTTCTTTCCCTTCTTTCCCTTCTTTCTCTCCATTTCTCTCTCTCTCCTAGGAACACTTGCATCTTTATCCTGCACAAAGCCCTCACCCCACTCTGACTCTGGCCTGGCACATTCATCAACAGCAACCATGGCGACTCTCTTCAATACCCTACTCCTAGGCCTCACGTTAGGGGCCTCCGCAAGCACAATCCAGATGAATATCGCGCGAGATCCGGCCGTTCATGCCGCACAACTAGAGGCCAACTACGTCCGGAGCAGACTCGTGCGTCGCGCCGGCAGCTCTACCGTCACCGAGTCGCTCATCAACAACGTAACAGGCGGCCTATATGCTGCGAGCATCACAGTAGGAACACCGCCGCAGAAACTGACTCTTCAAATCGATACGGGCAGTTCGGACGTTTGGGTTCCTGTAGCCGGGTCTGATATTTGCGATGCTCCTGCTGCTGAGGATGGGGGATGCCCTGGCGGCACTTGTGAGTTTCCTCATATGCCTCTTTGAATAGCACTTTCTAATACTCTTACAGTCGACAATACAACTTCCTCGACGTACAAAGTAGTTGGAGCAGGCGAATTCAATATCTCATATGTGGATGGATCGGGTGCTGCTGGAGATTACTTTACAGATATGTTTGGTATTGGTGGCGCGACGGTGAAAGGTCTGGAGATGGGGTTATCCGTAGATGGTCAAATTGGACAGGGTATTATGGGTATTGGGTATAACACCTCGGAGGCAAATGTCGAAACTGGCAATACCACCATCTACGCGAACCTGCCCAATGAGATGGTCGATGAAGGGTTGATTAACTCTCTTGCGTATAGCTTGTGGTTGAATGATCTCAGTGAGTACCCCCCTCCTGACTAGATTTGTAGATTCTAATATCCACAGGTGCAAGTACTGGATCAATTCTTTTTGGAGGCATCGATACAGACAAATTCACAGGCGATCTCATCTCAGTCGATGTTTACCCCAGCCGCCGTTCAAAATCTGTCGTCTCTTTCACTGTGGCATTCACCTCTCTATCAGCAACCAGTAGCTCTGGTACCGATCAACTTACCGCAGATGGATTCGCCACTGCTGCTATATTAGATTCTGGAACTACTCTGACATATCTCCCCAACGAGGTCGCTGAAATGGTGTTTGCGGAATTGGGAGCGCAATACTACACACAGCTCGATGCTGTTGTTCTTCCATGCTATACCGGAGATAAAAATGGAACGATCAACTTCGGTTTCGGTGGCACAGGCGGACCAGTTATCAAGGTGCCCATCAAGGAGCTCGTCCTCCCTCTCACCCTGCCCAGCGGCAAAGCTGCAACATACACCGACAAGGTAGCAGCTTGCCAACTAGGAGTTCAAGCTGCAGGTGATCTACCAATCTTATTCGGTGACACGTTCCTGCGCTCAGCCTACGTCGTGTACGATCTTGCCAACAACCGCATCGGTCTCGCCCAGACAGACTTCAATGCCACCAGCTCCAACGTGGTATCATTCCCTAGCTTCGGCGCACCGATTCCCTCGGCCACGACTGCACCGAATGAAGCCGCGGTTACACAAACTGCTACTGATATCCCCAAAGTTGGTGCTTCGGCGACAGCGAGTGGAGATAGCGCTGCGCCAACTTATAACCCCACGGCTACTGGTCTTAGTGCGGCTAGCGGCTTCACTTCTACGCCGACAGGTACGAGTAAGAGTAAGAGTGCAGGTAATAGCATTGAGCCATTTGCTTGGTCGAGGGTATTTGTTGGTATCATCACGCTTTCCATGATGGGTGTGGGTGGCGGTGTTTTTGCGTGGCTATAACATGTTTTTATAGATAGATGGAGCCTTGTTTTAGCAGTATTGCTGGCGTTGATGGGCATTAAATAGGATATGGGTATGCCAGCGGTAACGAAAACGAGTACAGATGTATGTATATATATGTAATGATATAGAACTTTTATGAAAATGAAATATCCTAACTATCAGTATTTTCTCCTGTACTTTGAACGTCAAGACAAGCATTTGTATTTCAGCCCAGCCCAGCCCAGCCCAGCCCAGCTCCGTCCGGCGCCCTTTTTATTATACTGTCACGTGCGATAAGACTTCCTTATCGCCGTTTCGCCAACCTTCCGTTGTTCAGCCTTGTCTTGTCATGTCCATTCCATCCCCTCTTCTGCAAATAGACAACTCCTCTCCTCACCTCACCATGTAGTAGCAGCAGAAGCTTCCCATTTCCCATCTTCTCTGAAAAACGAAACAAAGAAACAATTGGGGGAAGCCTTCGAGCGCAACTCTAAACGATACCGATAACGAACGATACAATTATTGCACGACACGGCATTTATCCATCCATCCATGTCTTCAACGCCAATTCCCGACGAATCATCCTCGCAGAATAGAGGGAAGGATAAGAGTGAGAATAAGGATTCGAGAGGGAAGGATGGGAAGGATTTTAGGGGTAGAGATGTGAAGGGCAAAGATGTGAAAGCGATGCCTTTACGTTTACGGCATAACATGGGTACATCAGCATCAGCGGGGAATATGGATACAAATACAAATCCAAATCCAAATCCAAACATCCATCCAACAAAACCCCACCCCGAAGAAAAGCCAGAAGTAGAAGGAGAAGAAGAAGAAATCATACCCAGACCCCGACCCCAGACCTTCAACCCCTTCTTCGTCCTAATCAACGACGCGAAAACGAAATCTACCTTTCACCCAAGGGAGGTGCATTATCTGTTTGAGGACGATGAGAGGGATGGGTTGGTGGGGGCTCTGAGTCGGTGTGCGGCTGCTTCGGCCTTGGGTTTGAGCGGAGAAAGGGAAAGAGAAGAGGGGGGGGAGGGGAGAGGAGAGGGTTATTGTGCTGGATATGGATGTTCTTGATAATGGAAATGGACATGAGGATGGAGATGGAGATGGAGATGAGGGGGGGAAAGAGGGAGAGGTGGAATTAGGGGTGGATAGAGTTGTGTGCCTGAGTCCTAACTGGCAGGTTCTGAGCGCGAGCTTGGACATGGCGCCTAGTTTGGAGGGGGGAGGAGAGGGCGGTGGGAGTGGGAGTGGGAATGCGGGGATGATGGTTAGGGTTGAGGGGGTGGAGGTTGATGCGGGTGGTGAGGAGGATGTGGGGGATGGGGATGTAGATGCTAGCGGCTGTCGAGGAGTTTGAGGGGGGCATGGAGGTTTTGAGGAGGGTTATCAGTATGGGTATGCAGAAAAGGAGAGGTGATAGCGATGGACAGCAGGAGGGAGATGAAGATGGGGGAAAGGGTGCTGGGAATGCGGGGTCGAGAAAGGATGTAGATGTCGATGCGCTTATAGGGAAGGGGAAAGAAAACGAGAACGAGAATGTGAATGTGAAGGAAGACGTGGGTGTAGGCGTGGGAGATGAGGTAGGGGAGGGCTGATTTGTATTTATTGTTGCGCAATGGGAATGGGGATAGGAATGGGACTATCAAAGGAAGGCGTTAGGCTTGGATATGTACCTGGAGTACGCGGAGTTCGGATTATTTACCACAAAGGATATGATATAATACGTCACATTTCCATCCTGCTATATCATATATGTATGCCCTTAAAGAGCTCCAATTCAGGCATAAGAGATATCACCCCAGGAAATAAGTATATGCGATAACTTGAATCCTTACGATTCATTCAACAAGAGAAAGTAAGAAGTGGAATCCATTATATCCTTATATTCGGATTCCCACCCCGTTGATTCATCTACAGAGTAAAATCTCCTCCCTCTCAACGCCTATTAGGTTACCCATCAATCAATCCAATATACCCAAGCAAATCATTGCTAATATATACATACATTCCCTATGATTAAAACCCCAACTCGTCTCAACCCCTCCCTACCTCCCCTGCCAAAACCCCACACACTCATCCCACTCCTGCATCCCCTCGGTCCAAAAATACCCCCTTAGCACCCCCTGCACGCGGTCCGCGCTCTCCAAGCCCAAGAACACAATCGCGCTACTCAGCATCTGCCCGAACCATGCTTTCTGAGCCGGGGGCGAGAAGATGCCGGCGACGAAACCGACCCAGAGCATCATTTCGACGTCGCGGTGTTGGAACGAGGCGGGCTGGCAGAGGACTTGCAGCTCGTGGATTTGCGAGAGCGTCGTGGTTAGGGCTGTGAGGTGCGTTTGGAAGCTTGGCGGGGGGGTCGTGGGGGATGCGGAGGGCGCTGTAGGGAAGGTGTGGTGCGTGCAGAGGAGGATTGCGAGGCGGGCTGCTTCGAACACTAGGTGAAGGACAGAGTTAGAGTTTGTTTGTGTTGAGTGTTTGATTGGGTGATTGGGTGGGGGAGGTGTGAGGTATATGATGAGAGAATGAATTGAAGTGTGGTGTAGAAATGAAGATGGAGATGATGAAAGAGTCTTACTATAAGCATCTGCGCTTGTCCCACCCGTGGGCAACGGAATGCGCATAGAGAGAAGGCGATCTTCTATCTCCCAACATTGCTTGTGGAAAGAAATGTAGTCCTTGAGTGTCGTAGAGGGATTACCAGCGAGTTTGCTGAGGATTAAAGCGAGGTCTGAGAGGGCGTGAATAGAGTCTAGGATAACCTTTCCTTGGTCTTGTAGGGATGGGCTGTCTACTGATTGAGGGGGTGAGGATATGCCTGGGTTGATTATATTTGCACTGATTTCTCCCGTTAGTTTATGCTTAGATGGGGGAGGGAAGGACTCGCGTTGACAGCAGCCATGCTAAAGTACCGTTCCAGCCTAAATTCTCGAGACCACCTCTCTGACTGATCATCTTTGCCATCACTTTGTTATGAACCAGATCTTCGTCAGCGTTGCCTGTCACGTTCTGTTCGCCGTCAGCTTCCAGACCATACAGAGAGAAAGAAGTATTGATCATACGTTGGATGCAGCAAATAGCCCAGCGGCCGCGATGGTGGAGTCATCGGGTGAGTTTTCTCCTGAGCTCAGTCGCTCATTGAGGAGGCGGATAGTCTGTCCACGGTGGTATAGAGTACTGGCACTCCAAGGCCTGTTGTGTGCTTGATCGAGGTGTACACCCGAGTGAAAGAGGGTTGATTCAAAGACGACTGGATCCATCAGTGCGTGGTAACTCCATTCTGTTGAAAGATGGCTCTTTCCCTTGGTGTTCAACGGATCCAGCTGTGGGAAGACAGCGGAAAGAACTGGGATGTCATGTCAGCTTGTTATAATTTAGTCCGAAAAAGGCCATCTTTTGAGATTTCACAGCATTTGTATCGGAAGAAGGCAGAAAAGTTCGATTCAGGAGACGAGGTGGAGAATGACACGTCCTGTAAGAAGAGGCTGAACATTTTGAAACAAAACCCGAATATCCCGACAAAGAGGAGAAGAAAGGACTAATCAAGGCCAAGAAATATGCAGGTACTTACAGTGACGAAACAGTTCATAGTAGTTGGAATTGCCGCGATTTAGAGAGGGAGAAGTGCCAAGAGCCAAGTCGAGTCCATCTGACAGTTGCGTAGTTGGGAAGGGCTCCGGACGAGTTATATCTCTCCTTTTCGTCTCCTCAAAGTGACTGAAGGAGACATCAGACATTGCAAAGCCAGCCGCATCATCTAGTTGTTGCGGAGAAGTAGCCGGCAATGGAAACGAAGTTCCAGGTTCGACTTTTACATAAGTAGGAGTCTTTTGATGCTTCCGCTTTTTGGAGCTTTCGTCTGATTCAGGTGATGAGCCAGCTTGCCGTTTCTGGAACTGTTGCATGCGCTCCATACGTTGGTTTCGGCGGAAAGCTCGCATTGCAGCCTTGCGGACCGTCTTCTTGGTTTGGGCGTCGGGGCCATTGTTGGGCTGGGAGACGACAAACTCCCACTGCGCTCCCATAATGGATCGAGGAGGAGTGGTAGGAGTGGGGTGAGTGAGTGGATGGGTGCGGAAGAGGCTGAAGGTCAAGAAGAGCGGTTACCCAGTGGAGAAGTACAGATATTTAAGTGTAGGTAGGCTACGTTACGTTGGCGTGGTGTGCAGTGGGCAGGAGTGCGTTAAAGTGAGTAGGAGTGCCGAGGCAACTCGATACTATTGCCCGCTTTAGGGATTGGGGAAAGGGGGGAGGAGGGGTTGATGTTCATCCAACATGAAGTGGTGGTGGTGGTGATGGGGATGATGACTTAGCATTTGTTGCTGACATTATTGCTGGTTCATACCTAAGATCCCCCTCTCTTCGGACGGAGGTAAGTGGTGGCGCAGGAGGAGCTAAAACCAGGAATCTAATGCTCAGCCCCTTTCCTCTTTCAGCCATTATAGAGGCTTGGCACGCTAAAGGCTCTCGGTAGAGCCCCCTGCCCCGCTTTTAGTCAGCCCTGCCTTCCTCTTCCTTCACAAACCGCTTGTGCACCCTTGAAATGCAACATATATTGCAATCTTGCATTTCCTTTTACGAAATACTTCGTACCTTATCTTTACGAAATTAGTCTCGGGGGCTCTCTGTGTCCGTTGTCCTATCGGTTTCCCAGCAATTGGTCTTTATAATCTCCTGGATCGCTGCAAAATATATGGACCGGTAGAGCCGCATGCAAATTTACCGTCATTTTCATATTTAATGCGTTCTACTTAACGGCAAATCCTTCATCGGAAAGCCCGAAGGGGTCGAAGGGAAATATTAAGATTACTTGTGTGGCTCTCGGGATGGCCACTTCTCAACTAGGTTTGTTTGGCTTTCGGGATTTCAGTCATTAACCCCCTTTTGTGCTCCTAGAGATTAAGTGTAGCAAAGCTACTTTATTAAGCTTTTGCACGTCCACAGGGCTTACCTGATCTGCAATATAGACACATACACCAGATACATGCGAGGGGATACTCGCCTGCTGCCTTCGCGTTCGTTTCGTGATTACCTCCTCTCAGGCCAACAACCACTCCGTGACTTGTCGTGGGCGTCTTTAACGCCTTATGTCTCGTCAGCTGGATCTTGCTTCCTAGTGTGTAAAACCGTGACACAAAACTTGCCCAGGCTTTACAATTAGAAACCTTTTATCGCGCTTGCCTCACAGAAAGAATTTGTCGGACTAAGCTGCTTACATAAGCCTCTGTGGGATAAATCTCTTCATCACGCTAGTCTGTCCTTCTCTGGATACACACAATTATATGCCCATCACGTCTATGCTAGCTGTGACCCTAATTATCGTCCTCTCTGTGACCAGCATTGTCCAACAGAATTGTCCTTATAGTCTCGTCACGCCCAATAGACATTGGGTATATATACTCAAACAAACATATCACTTCCACATACGACCATAGACTGAGGAGAATTGGGCATCCCGTCCGCTCTGCCATACACAAGCCTCAGATCGGCAGATTAGTAGTTGGGTGGGTGACCACCAGCGAATACCTGCTGTTGTATGTTTTTGCTGGTTTTTTGCCCGAGTGTATATACTTGTCAGAAAAGAATGGGAGGCGAGGGACCTTGATATCAATATTGTTATACGACTAGCTCTCTGGACCCCGGACTCCAGGTCCTCAAATATTCTATCTTCCTAAGTCACCCTCAAATATCTGCACCATCGTCAGTCTTAGACCCCGGCTCCCTAAACTCAGTTCCTTGGTGAATATCACTAAGTCTAGCACAAAAGCTCAGTAGAACCACCGTTTCCGTCGCCGCAAAATGATTCATTTCGTCAAGCAAAACATGCATGTGTCTTCCAAAATTAAGCTCGAACTTCCTTAGGTTTGCGATCATTTTCTCAAGTTGGGGTGGTTTGGTATTGCCTGAAAGGTCTGGGTCGTTAGACTCTAGCTCGCGAGAAAACCACGAGGTGAAATTCGAGAATAGGGTACATGTTTGCATCAGTTTAGAATGTCTCTGCTTAAATATTAGAAAAGGCGTTGTTGCTATTATATCTGCCTTGATAAGGGAAAACATAGAACATACCCTTAAAAGTCGAGCATTGGTAAGCATGCATTCTTTCAGACAAGTATCGAGGAAATCAACGTGGTTTTGCATCAGTTCATCCACTGTACCAACGGCTGATTTTGAACCGTTCTTGAGCTTCTCCATGAAAGCTTGCCAATTCGGTTCGATGACTTCGGAAGTGCAGAAGTACAGAAGTTGCTGTACATATACTAGCATGCGAGCGCGCAATGTGAAAGCACGCCGCTTGCAAAGCTCAATCTCCTTATCCGAACTTTTATGAGCCCAGCTAGAAGCTTTATTCCATGTCTGCCAGTTCGCAACTAGCTGTTGCTCCAGGTGTCGCAGTGAAAAGAGGTATCGAAACAAAGCTTGGTATCTCCCTAATATAGAAAATTTAAGAGTTAGTGATGTAATTCTAGGAATAAGTGCTGTAGAACGGCGGTGGTGCGAAAATACTTACAAATAGTCTTCCTACTAATGACAAGTGATGCCGGAAAAGGAACAACACAATCAAGTTGCAAAGAAGTAAAACCAACAGGCCCTTTTTCGCTTTCAACAGGTGGAGCAGGTGGATTCAATAGCGCTTCTCCATCCTCAATACCAGATATATTAATGACTCGCGTCAAACAATCATACAAATTGACACTATTCATCTCCACTTTGATATTCTCCTTGAAGGGATCTTGGGCAGGAAGGACCAAATCTAGCAATGCTTGCAATTTATTTGTGTTCACTTTGTCGACTGGTTTGCGAAGCTCTGGTGATGCTAAATCAAGGAAATAGGACAGAAAGTCAGACTGGCTTAGAAAGAAGTAGTGTTTCATCGAATGTAAACGCTCAGGTAACGCATATGTTGTTAATAACAGATTTAAGAGAGATTTGTTTGCATAAACATATGCATCGTTAACATTATCGAAAAATCGAAGGTCCTCGAAGGTGGTAGGCACATTACTGATAGCTTTGCTGATATCGACTCCTCCACATTCCCGGACAACGTTGAGGTATTTCCCTGCAAGGAGAACTTTATGCTGCACGCTCTCAAGTTGCGGTGGCACATTGTCTCGCAATGTGTACCGCCTTTCCCAATAGTCGTCTGTGTAGTCCTCCGCAAGGCGCTCCCGCTTGATGCTCTGTTGCTCTTTGACCAAAAATTCGGCATACAAGTCTTTGATGGTACCGTGATGAAGCCATTCATTCAGCATTCGCATATACGGGCGGCTTGTATTTTGTAGTAATGAAGTGAGAACCGCTCGAGTGACTGGATCTCCAGAGAAGAGTTCTAAACGCTTGGTGATCAAGTCTAGAACACTGCCCCCTTTACACACTGGGCTTTTCCTACTGCCTGGTAGAAGATCAGAACCCTGTAAGGCTTCCAGAATATTCTCTATATCAAGCTCCATATCTGAGTCCATGTCGTCATCTATTGGAGAGCTTCGCTTGATAATGGCTTGGGCGAGAGAGTAGACTTGACTCATGAGGTGGCGTGTTGGAAGGGTATGCACGTTTAAAACGTGCAGGGTGAAAGATGGATTGGTGAGAAATTGGGTTTCTAGCTGAGCGATCAAGACCAAATAATCAAATATCAGCTTTCGTATGGCAGCACTCAAGGCGTGATTTACTACGCCAAGTTCAGCACGACCTTGCACATCGATAAAGGCTTCGAGTGCGCTGTGATGGGTCGCTAGTTTCAGTATCCCAATCGTAAGATCTCGTAGACTTGGATCCAACCCCGGAAGGATAACGAAAACTGGACCATCTAAACGGTCTTTCTCGGCAGAAGGATCGTAAGTCTTGGCAAAATGGATATATTGTCCTTCGACTCCCATAAGCACTATGAGAAGATCTTCTATAATAGCCGCTTCTTGAGCTTCTAGTGATAATTCTCGCAACGCTTTAGGTTCTAATGGAATCGGTGCCTGTGAGGCTCGCGGTGGAATTGATATTCGGGATGCTAGGGGCGCACTCGTATGTGTGACCAGAGATACCTCTGGGTTCCATGGTACTAGATAATTTTGTCAGTCTATAGTAAAAACAAAGAGGCTGGGAAGGGCAATTCACGCTGCGGTATCTCTGGCTTGCTTTCTTTCGCTGTTTGTTGAGAGCTACTAGCTTGAACGTGCTTCGGCTTTTCGGCTGCTGTTCGCGTTCGCTGGTCCGGACTTTTTATTCGCCTGACCAAAGTTTCTGTGACTTTCTCCTTCCTGTGTTCTCTGGTTCGCTGCGAGCTCGATTCGGTTCTGCGATGAGTTGTGGAGCTAGTGGACTGCGCGGGATGTTGTCGCCGTTGATCTCTTTGTCTGTCTGTTGCGGGCACATTGCTTGCCGTTGAATTTTGGCGCGCATTGCCATTGCTCGCAGATGACTGATCTCCATGAAACGACCTGGGACTGGACGTGGAGGGCATTGTAGAATTGTATATCGTCTTGGTATTATAAGAAACCGTACTCTTTTTCGCGACGGAGGGGCTGAAGCTAGCGCGACTGTCAAACTAGCCAGTGGGGCATGGCAGGGATCTGTTTTAAGCGAGCCAATGCTATCCTCTATTTTATAGTAATTGTTTATTTATTACTAAGATATATGTTGGTATACACATAGTGCACTGGTCGGCCTAGGATTTACGTACTCGATCGAGTTTATCGGTGGTTACGTGGTTGCATTTCTAGGTGTAGAAGAGGTTCTAGTTAAGGTTGCAGCGATGTGGTAAAGGCCTCATCGCTGCTTAGTCATCGGGACTAAGGTCTCGTGTTACACGTGATCTATATCCCAACAATATATGATATATAATATTCTAAAAATAACCTAGAATAACAGGTTTCTATACTTCCTATACTATTTATTTCCAGTTTATTACTAGCGCTAGTATATACCTTTTTAATTATATAAGGCAGATTTAGTATATTTGCTATAGGTTTAAGGTTAAAAGAGATAAAGAAGTATGCTAGGCGAAATAGAAAGATCTGATTAGACTAGAAATTAAATAGTATAGAGAGTAAGGGAACAAATCTGATTAGTGTATAAATAAGAATAATACTCCGTATCTAGGAAGCGCAATCCTACAACCCCACCACCCTACTACTATATAAATTGGGATAGTGCCCCACTCTGCACTATAACCCCCTTTAATATTACCATAGATCCAAAGCTATTATCTTCATTGGCGCTAGTATTATAAGCCTAGAGCCTATATCGTCCTTAAGCTTCTTATGCCAGATAGACAAAGGCGGCATCACTATGGTTGACTTTTAATGCCCTATGCGACCTGGCACATTATATTCCAATGCTGCTTAGAGCCCTAGGGGCACTATCTCAATTTATACAGTATGCGTAATCGTCTTTCCCCCTCCTGAACATACTCTCGCCTTCCCCTAAGTGTGCTGGCGACCACCGGCACCCCCCCCCCCCACCCCCCCCGGGCGGCTTTCTTCTACTTCTACTTAGATAATATTATTTTAATACACTTAGACCACATTAGCTAGACATAAGTATAGATAACGCCCCGGAGCTTGCGTAGGGCCACGTGGGACATATTGGTATGATACGGAACAACTAAAAGCAGATAGAGATGAGAGATAAGATGCATTCTAGATACTATAAATCAAATAAGATACAAAACCTATCAAAGCCAGCTTCGACCCAAATCAGATGGAAATGAGAGACAGGATGCGATCCAGAAAACGTAAACCAAATGAAGTACAAAAATCATGTCAAAGCTAGCTTTGACCCAAATTCTCCTTAGCCCTAAAGACCAACATAGGCATGTCTATTCAATTGTGCCGAGGCCTCCACATCTCATGCAAAGAGACTTCTGTTTCCCCCATTCGCAATACACACATCGTCTTCGTCTTCCGTCTCCGCCGACCCATGAACCTTCTCCGTTGCAAGAAACACAGTTTTCCACAATCTCTCCAGTCCCGTAGCAGATCATACAGTCAACCATTTTTGCTAAATCATACATATGAGCCACAAGGGTAAGATGTTTGTAAAAGGGGTATTTGACTTACATCAATTCAATTGAACTAGCTTCTTCTCAAGTGGGTTCAAGGTATATAGCGAATAAGGAATAAAGTATGGTGAAATTGGTGTACTTCTACTATTAAACAAGACAGCAAAATAGTATGGCAGCGTACAAATTACTGGCGGCCAAGTCGAAGCGCTGGGGATGAATCTGAATACGGTATTGAATGTAGTGGTATCTGCAGATCGGTGTGATGAAGAGAGTGAGGGGGGCTTATGTTGTTCAAACTTGATATCGGCTGGATATGATTGATGAGAAGAGAGAAGTCGACTTTGTGATAAGTTGATGTTATGGATGAAGACATATTGAAAGGGTACTGAAAGGCGACTTATATACTGATCATACCGGAAGACTCCAACATTTAGTTTGAGTTTGATCATACTGGAAGATCCCAACATTTAGTTCAAACTCGACCCTTTTGTCCAAGTCTCTGACGTGCTAGGTACAGCGGTTAAGTGTTTGAGTAGCGCTAATAGAGGGTCATTTGATATTAATACCACATATATCGTGCGCGCATATCTGCTTGAAAGGTGAATGTCTCCGCTTTTTATTGTGGCGTTCGCCTTTATCACCGTTTCTCTCCACCTTACCTGCCTCATCGAGATTGGCTAATAGAGAGAGAAAGACAAGATTCCATCAGGCGTCCGTCCCCGCCAAGGGACAGGCTAGCCTCATCACTTCTGGGCTGGACCGTGCGCTAGAGCGTACTGCGGGCCGAGGCCGACTCCTGCCTGTGGAGGCTCTGTGGAGGCTCTGTGGGTCCAAGCCCACAACCAGGCGCTTATATACTCCTCGTTACTTGAAACAAAAGAATGGCGACTCGTACCCAGTCATACCTAGGTAAGCGGATCTTTAGCATTGTTTAGCCGCGGCCGTGTGACAGCTGCGCCGTATGCGACAAGCGCTGGCCTACTCGGTAGGATTCTTCAACCAGCCGTGCTGCCTCTGATTGACTCGTTCTTGAGTTATACTCGAGTACTGCATTCCCGCTAGAACCTGATATGGGCGCTTAACAGACACATGCACAGCCTTGCCTTGTGAAAAGCGCTTACGGTGACCATATCGGACGCGGCCCACCTGTTTCATAAGTTTCAGCTATCAGCCGCCAAACCTGCCCTCCAAGATAGGCAGAGCCTCGTAGAGTTTAGACCTTCTTGTGCCAATGACTTCGCTTATCAGTCCCGCGGCAGCTCTTCCAATAGCCTTTTGAGTCTTCTTTGATATTTCACGTCAAGACGGCCAATTCCAATTTCACTAAAGAGACCCCAGGGTTACCCCAAGCTCTTAAGTTTGAGAACAACCGCGTTAACTGTGAGGCTGACGAAGGAACTTATGCAAGTGTGCAAGCTGAATGCGCCACAAAGCTATTTCGGGTCAACGTCCAATATCCCCCAATCTTCCAGTCTGTCAACGTCCCACATCCCGTACGCATTTCCTGAAAGGCTACTTATGTTCTTCGAAGTTTATCATTTCCATTTTCTGACCTATTAACCATACCCAGGCGGCATTTGGGCCATCGACAAGACTATCGTCTTTAAAAAAAAGCTCCTGTCCATCTTTGGCAGCAGTGTACATATCGGTCTGATACACCCAGTCATATGGATCCTCTTCCAAAGCAACTTTAAGGAAATAGCGGTCACAACAGATATTATCTTAAAGAACAGAGGCCTTTTGCACAGCAGATGATGCGTTGAGCAATCGGCATAAGAATGGGAGACCGAGGGACATGAGATATCCTGTGTTTTCTACTTGGTAATATTTTGCAAAAGAGGGTTAGGTGATTCATCACAATCGTGAGAGATACAAGGAGCACCCACCATCATTTAGATATTTCTTGGGACGAAATTTGGAAAGTTCGGAGGAACTTTCCTGGAGGGATTGGGTATGACATCTGATGATGTAGTCAAGCACGCAAGCCAACTCCTCGACCTCCCAAGCTTTGATCAATCGAGTCAAAGTACCCTTTAGATTCTGGTGGGATTTGTATACCACAAGGCTCTGTGAACAAAACTCGGGACAGCTCGAAGCGGTAAAGAGCTCGGTAGATGCGACGGTCCTCGTTGGGGGAGAGACATCCGTGAGATTGGATTCTTTCTCCCGTTACTGGATGAACAGATAGTGTGGTCTCGCAGAAATTAGAGTTTACTTGCTAGAAACGTAAAGTTTTTGGCTGTTATGGAAAAGTCGGGGTTGAAAATCAAGGATGAGGATGATTGGAAAGACGTTTCGAAGAAACCGTGGCCAAAGAAGAATAAGAGGAAGCATTGAAGGGGTGCCCGGAGCGAGAACGAAGGCGATTCACTTGCATATTTTCGAGCCAAAATATCGACACTTTACACATATAGACAAAGAACTATGAGTTCCACCACCGAGACAATAGTTCGACGTTACACGAACTTGATGTAGCGAAACCTTCTCGGGCCCTCCACGTAAAGAGTTTGGTTGGGAGGCACATTAACGACGCCATATTAACGCTGCACAGTACTTTGGACCGCCACAACCTTGCTCGTCTGCGTAGTCAGAATGTCCTCCGACGGGACTTCTTCATCACTGTGGCCCTCGAATCCGTAACTCTTGTCCGACTCAACCGGGACATGTTCACGCATAGCGATCCATGTGGGTATTACTGCAAGACCTGGAAGAACAGATGAGCATCAATCAAGACATGTGCTTAGGATGGCTGCCTACCAAGAAGTATTGTATTGACAGCAAGAGGAACACGACCACCTTTCCATTCACGTGTATTTAACCCGTAAGAGACGGCTTGGGAAAAGCTCTCCTGTCCGCGAAGAATACCAGTGAAACGCGCTTGGCTTAGTTAGTTATATTCTATCACAGCTTCTCTCGAACAGGAATGGAAATTCTTACACAATTCAGAAATGTTGTCGGTTTTCGTAGACACGAAATAATATAGCCAGTTCTGCAGGGACTGCTGCGAAAATTCTGATGGTAATTGATAAGCTTGTGACGCATTTGAATGACCGAGTAGATTTATAGCTTACGCCAGAATGCTAGGACGAAAAACCCTTCGACGAATCCAGAGTCCTCCCAATCCCAGGTAGGCGGGTGTCCGGTGTACTTTTCTTGGATTACCCAGGCGTAGATCCAAGCAACGAGATGCCAGAAAATCACCCAATAGAAGCTAAAGATCGTCAGTCCCTCTCCTTACTTGGTGAAATCTGTTTAGTTATATTACCCAATATTCAAGCGCTTCTTGACGGGAAATTTCTTGTAGTCAAGCAATAGACTAATCAGGTAAGATGAAAGTAAACCCGCGAAGTTGACTGAAATTATTAGTGATTGTGGGGTAGTGTAATGACCATGAGGACGAGTTTCAACTCACTAACAAATCCACTTAGGGCTCGTGCGCGAACTCCGAAGTAATACGTTTGGAAATCTGCATTGCTATGTTAGATGACTAGACTATAAAGTAAGGAGGTGTTTGGGGTTCAAACTTACTTGAATTGTACTGGTTGAAGTAAGCAGCCCAGAAAATAGGCAGTAATAATAGAATCTGCGTCTCGTCAGAAAACAATACATCAATGATGTAGAAGAAAGCACTTACATCACGCCTAGCCAATGCCCTTCCAAGTGCCTTGATCTCAGCGATGAATGACTTTTCGGCAACAATTTTCACTTTGGTCCCATCTGAACGCTGGACCTTTTCCGGCGGAGTGAGCAACAGTGCTAGCGGGGCGGCAATGCATTGAAGCGCGATAAACACCAGATAGGTTTCTGATATCTCTACGTCAAAACCAGCAATGTCAACGATCATCAATCACACTCACCATATCCAACTTTGCCCTTCTTCTTCTGTTGAGCGCCACTATGCCCAAGTCAGCATTGCACATCTAGTAGAAGACCCAGGCCACGAACTGATTCAGCGCAAGCACAATGGCTCCCCCGACAAGTGGTCCCCCAGTGCGGAAAATCAGCCAAATACTATCATTATACAATCAATCAGTAAGAATAGAGATACTTAAGTATACGGTGTTTGCTTACTTCATATATTTTCCCCTCTTCGAAGCCTCGGGATAACCTAGGGCAACAGCGCCTTCGGAAGCCCAAAATAGACCAGCACTGTTTGTTTATACTGTTAGCTTTCGCCGCCAGCCTCGAGGAAGATTTTCTGGCTAGAGAATGGACTTACGAGATGCCGCAAAAGGCAGCTCCAACCAATACAAGCCAGTTGTTGCCCTGCCCTCGCCATTAGCACGAACAGTCTGAAAGCAAAAACATGGTGTGTTCTACATAACGATTGTTGGTGTATAGCCCTGCACTATTACCATTAAAAACATTAGCGATTCTGGCAATCCCCCACGTATATGATTCCATAGACATACGAATAAATCGGATATCCAATCGCACCAAGACAAAGAGTCCAATTCAGTCCAATCCTGTTCGATATGGGCCCACCAAGCAAGCACAGAAACCCCACTACACATTATATACCATCAGCAAACGAGTTCTCTCACAGAAATCAAGACCCAGAAAAGAAAGCTATTAGTGGAATGGCTTGAAATGGCATACTTAGCCCAAAGACAAGCGAGTTCGCAGCGTTGACGAGAAATGGTGATTGAGCGCCCCCAGCACCAAGGGCGCTCATGGCGTTCCAGAGGCCCGGCGCCAGGAAGCCTACCCCGCCAATCACAAACGCATTAAACAGAGTCGTGCGATACCAGATCCTCTTCTGCAGAGGACGTGTTTCTTCTCGGTCTACAGAGGAAGCCATTTCCTTTGTGTTATCGCTGTATTGAGTTCCAGAAATCCTACTCTCGGAAAGCAAGAACTAAATTAAGCGAAAAGACTTTTAAAAGAGATAATGCCTGATTGTTATATAGGTAGGTACCTTCTTGTGGGATTAAACATGTGATCATATGAGACGCCGACTAATAGTGTGAAAAAAAGAAAGTTTCGAATATTTGGCAGGAATGGCGAAATACACTAACCCGATTATGGGATTTTCGCAGGCATTTGTGTTGTCACCTACCTTTTGCGGCAACTCTGGTTGGCAAAAGTCACCTTATTCTATATTACTGACACATCATTTGAATGTCGAAATTTTTTTGCTTCACAAGCTCCATATTGATAGTGTTGTTGCTTGAAAAAACCTACAGGGTAGTTTCGGTAAAGAAGCCCCTGGAGTTGCTTCCTAGAAATCTTTGCCACTTAGTACCGCGTGAAATCGAGAAGTGTCTTTAAAGTGTACATTGAGAAGAGCGTTTGGGGGTTGATATTCTATAATTCAAAGGCAGTACAGAAAATGATACCTGAACTGGAGATTGAATTCCATGTGTGGAGAAACTTAAAGAAATATTTCAAACCACGACTGTCTCGTATATCAGAGAAGTTAAGCTCGCAGTACCTCGCCTAAGACTTATAACATTTTAATCCTAGCACGACTAGTTCTTAAATTAGTTCCGGTTGAATACCATAGAATACTCAATTGCCTATTGGTACTTGCTTTAGAGTATACTCTTGTTCACGCAAAATCAGAAGTGCAGAAGAACCTTGGCCACTTGGTCGAATAGTTCGTAACCCAACAAGTAGCACTAAATACCTAGAGTACTTGGCACTGATGACTTATTGTAAATCACCGCATATGCATTGGTGGTCAAGAGTCAAACAGCACAGGACACGTCTGCGGACACAACCACTGTATACGCAGCCGTCCAACCTGAACGGGGAAGCTGGGATTCGGAATACGAAGACTCTTGCGCGTGCTGTGGCGAGTTGTGCTGTTAGCTTTTGGGGGCAGAATGGTGAGTATTTAGAGTGGAAGTAAGGAGTTCCATGCTCGAGGTTAGAGCCAATCGAGAATATAAAATTTGGACATGGAGTGCGTTGAAGTAACGAGGATGAGACGATACAAACATGCAAGGACAATTCAGCGGTACTTACGATGTTAATCAAATAGAACATACTTAAATCCAATCCTGCTGAAAGCGTTCTCTTTTTCAAACGTGGGCTTTCCTTCCTCCCGCTTCTCCAAAACAACCCCTCAGACCGGCCTCCCTCACCAGAAGCCTTGAGATAGCCCAAAATCGCGTTCTAATACACGCACAACTCCTCCATACACGGAACCTTCTCAACTTTCCGTATTCACCATAAATCTGACGCGTACTGTACCATGTAAAAGTCAAAGGTAGAGGAAGTGAGAACATGTAACGCGTGAGGAATGGGACGAGCGAGCGAGTTATTCGAAGATGTGGCGCAAGTAGGGGCGGCCGAATGCAAGCAAGGGGCATGGCATACTCCGAACAGTAGGGCGGAAATGAAATGTAGCCTGAAGAAGCCTAGGTCTGCCGGCTGCTGGTGCGGCTACTGGCGCTGATTCGCGATTTAGGCTTATCCTTACGGATCTTGCCCCTTGAAAACCCGGGGTGTCTGGGGTGAGAAATTAGAATACAAGTATATGGTCAGCCTACCACCCACCACTTTCATAGAAAATGCGCAAACGCCCCCCTACCAAGGACGCAACTACCGGTAGCACACAGAGAACGTAAGAGAGGACTCGAGTACTGTCGCGAGGCAAGATGAAGTTATTTACGAGCTGCTATCTGGCAGCAGCCCTTCTAACCAGTGCTGTCCAAGCTGGTAAGCTCCCCCCTCCTCTCGAGTCTCCCCACAAACAATGGACTGACCATAGCTCACTCCCACCTCCAGAGGGTCAAGTCTGCAATTCCAAAACCAGCACCATCAACAACTTCCGCATCCTGTCTCAAAGCGATGCCGACGCGCTCTCCAGCTGCGGCACCCTAGAAGGCGATGTCACGATTTCAGCCGGCGGAACGATAAACCTGCCGAACCTCTTGTCCGTGTCCGGTGCTCTGAATCTCACAGGTATTGGTGGAGGCTCGATACTGAGCGTTGGGCTTCCGGCTCTGAAGACAACGGGGAATTTGACGGTGCAGTTCGTGTATTCGCTGACTCTCACGGCGCTGAAGAATATCACGGTGGGGGATTTCGTGGTTAGGAATAACACGTTTACGAAGCTCGCTCTTCCGAGCTGGAACATGTCGATGGCTCGGTAGCTATACACGATAATGCGGATTTGAATAATCTACAAATGTCGGATCTGGAATCAATTGGGGGGTCTGCTGCGGGGTCGGGAAATATAACGATTCAAGACAATCCTTCTCTCACCAAATTAACAAGCATCAACGATCTAAAAATCGTCAAAGGAAATATCAGTCTAAGCGGGCCCTTCCAGACGTAAGTATCCATATTCATATTCATTGCACTGCAAAGGGAAAAAGATTATCTGCTGAACGATCTTCGTAGTGTTCGGTTTTCCGACCTAAAGAGCTTCGCGAAAGGCTTCTCATTGAACAGCACGAAAGCCAACTTTGATTGCTCTGCTTTCGACCGGATAAACGCCACGTCGCCCAGTCACAGCCAATACCTATGTCGAGCCTCGGTCCCCGGGTCCACGAAAGACACAGCGCGCCATTCAGACGGCACACACAGCACGCTCTCCCACGGCGCCATCATCGCCATAGTCGTCGTCGTCCTTGCACTCATCATCGCGGCCGTCGCTGCGTTCTGCGCCTTTAGATTGTGTATGGCTAGGCGCAGGAGAGCCAGAGCGGCGGGCAGTGTGAGAGCGGTGCCTGTTGTACCGGGAGACTTTGTCCCCGGACAAACGAGTTATTTCCCGGGTGGGGGGCAGAAATACGGGCCTCTGTCTAATGAGGGGGGCACTGCTTATGGACGGGGTGTGGAAGAGCATGAGATGCATAGGCCTATGTATAATCAATTTCCAGGACCGCCGCCTGGCCACGAACATTATCGCTGATGGCAGTTCGTTTGACATTTTCGCGGCCGGTCTCTGCGTCATATGTATATGTCGAATACGTTTCTTTTCATGCTCTGTTTTCGCAAAGGATATATTCCGAAGCTCTGGGGTGAGGTTGATACTCAGTTTCGCGTCCCATTGAACCCCGCTCATCAACTTATCGTCCCGCCGTCTACACGTCTCGAAACAATGCATTTCCCAGTATAACAACCAAGCTATGTCGCAGCTGTATCTCAGATACCGATCGTGTGGTCCCATTAGCTAGCAACGGCAATATCATCTACCAAGAACACACTAACGTCAAACTCCACGACACCGGTACGTTCTACACCTCAGAAGGGAGGGGCTTTGCAGAAAGCATCAAAGATATATTGTTCGCGTCCTATGGTCCCTGAAGGATACTGAAGTATAATAGAGGGGAGACGGGAGTACAAGTGGAAGTGGAAGTGGAATGTTCCCGTAGAGGCGAGCACAATGGATAAGTGAGTGGGATGTTTGGATGTATAATTATGGATGTGAAGATAGATATGGAATCCATATCCATATTCAGGATGTGGGTGTTCCTAAGCGTGGGACGTTTGGCATAGGATAGGGTGCTCATCAATTGTACCAACAGGACAGTTGAGCAAGGTAGTCGGACTGACTTATTTGCTATGCAGGGCAAGTTTCATAATTGCACGGAAGCTTACCAATATAATCTGCACCGAAAATGATACTTACCAAAGTCAATTACCGTCTTTGGACCTGAGCTGTTTGCTTCTATAGCTTCAACTGTGAGCGAAACCCTGAAGCAAGATGAATGAACCAAGAGGGTAGGATAGGGGCGATCTGTTTGGGCTCCTGGGTTGCAATTGCCGCTGGCTAAAATTGCCACCTGGCAAAGTGGACTCTGCGCAACTTTTGCTGCTGTGTGACACGGTCAGAAAATCGACGCCGATCTCGAGCACCAATAGAATCAGAAAAGAATCACAAGAGTAAGCAGTGGCATGATCATACTGCTGCGGTGACGGCAGCGGCAGCCGAATACATTCTGGACCTCTATCCCGGAAGAGATAAACTGGTTGATAGTGATTTTCCTAGCTACTGTCTGCGTAATCACACACAGCTTTGACCACAAGACAAGGCAGTTCATCCCAAGCCCCAGCTCCCTCCATCTCAAAGGCAATGACACCAAAATCTTTCACATACCTATCCCTGTCAACCCAGACTTCTCCACCCTGGCATCCGAAGCTATGGCCCCAAAATGTAATACGGGATCATCAGGCTGGTCTCTGAATTGCTGCCTTGACTCCAGCTGTCGACGTTCGAGCTGTGTCGTGTCGCACTTGAGACTGGCGCAGTCTGCTTTGCGGTACTCTTCGCGAACCGGGTCTCGAACGTTTTCCCAGCGAGGACATTCGCATGTTGTTACGTCCTGGTGCTTGTTACGGTAATTCGCGTGGAAAAACTATCTCTGTCTCTTATATAATCTCAAGGATAGTAGGCGACACCCCATCGAAGGAGCAGACACTACGATCTAGATATCCAACCCTTCGAAACTTTACTCCTGCGTCAACTTTCTTTAATAGTAAGCAACTGAATCTTCTGGCATCCTTATGCTCGGACGAAGGTGAGGGGATAAGCGGCAGACAATAGAGATTGTCACCCTTCGTTACTGCCTCGTCGTAGAATGCAAACGCAAGGAACTGTTTGCATGTCCGGTTTTTTGATGAGAAAGCGTATCGGAACAAGGCAAAGGACTGATTAGCCTGGAAAACGTTCTCATTGTACGCCGCACAACTTTTTGCTGGAATGATTCTTCGGACTAGACCTCGTAGCTTCAAAGATGGACGTGTGGATGAAGCAGCCAGATGTGTAGCTAGAGGCATAGGATCCGCATTTAAAACTTCGAAAGGGGTGGTTAAGAGACTGTCTCCACTGACGCCAATTGAGGTTATGGATTTATTGCATTCCATTAGAGTCCCGTCGTTCCCGTAGTAAGAGTCATAGTACGTGATAATTTTGCCCGGGCGAGATGCCCACGACCACGACGGTATTGGCGATGTTAGGCTGATGTCTGTGCCAGTTTCTTTATTGTCAGCACTGAGCCTCCAAGCTAATCCGTGGGCCAAGTCTGATTTCCATAGACCATATAAAAACGAATCGCCTGACGTTTTAAATTTCGAGGCTAATCCAGCTAAAGCTATTAGCCTGTCAGATTCGTGTGTGAATATGCGGTAGCTGTATATCTCCATAGTTTGATACCACCAATGGAATCGTTGCCTCATGTGAACCCGGGTTGAGAAGTTCCCCTTTGCGTCCACCTTTATATACCTGTCGAAGTCTGACTTGTTGTTCAAAGGAACCAAGCCCATTGGTAAGCCTTCAGATGCAGTTTTGGAAGCACAGTTCCAGTATATTTCCGTTTTCGAAAAGCTAAGAGTCCGTGTTGACAAGTATTTCTCTTGAAATGTCCAGCCACGCGTGTCCAAGTACACAGGCTCAGGCATGTACCAATCACGACATATAAGGAACGCTCCCTTTCTGATGACTCCATCTTCCTTGGGGTATTGAACGTCTAGCGTACAAGGATATGTTTTTCGGGCATCTCGATCAACAAAGAGTCCAGCATGGCTGTCTTCTCCAACTGCAGCAGATATAGTCAACGCAGCATTGGAATAAATATCTCCCATTCGTTGAGATTGCGTCTGCCAGTCACTCTTACTGTCTTGAACAATACACAGCGAATCGATCCAGAGGAATCGAATGTCGAGGTACCGGCAGACGACTATGGCATCGTTGAAAGTCTTTGGGAAAGTTGATACATCCACAGCTTTTTGCCGCATCTCAAGATTGTCCTTTGTTGTGAGGTAATTTCGGCTTCCAGCTTTGCCCCAGCAGTAGCTAAGCGCAGCATATGATCCGACCCGGTCTTCGCCAACAGAGATAGAAATATTTTGTGAGTTTTCCCTGTCCCCAAGGTCTAGTACTCTATATGGGAGTATTGAATCCAGTTGAGACTGGTGACAACAGTGTTCATGGTAGTTTGCGCAATCATGAAACCAGCTAGCTGCTAAATCCAGATTCATAGAAGACCCAGTATTCAAATTATATTCCAAATTCTGGCCGCTAGGAATAAACTTTTCAAAATCTGGGGAATCATCAGTCAAATAAAGTCAAATCAATGGGCCTTGAATCACCTACCATTTAGATTCTTCAATCTCAGATGGCCTAGAGACTCCTTTCCGAAGCGCACTCCGAGATCTCCAATATAAAGATGTTCACTTTCTGGTGCGCAAAAATCGGGTGCTTGAAGAAAAAGGTACAATCTCTCGGAGCTACTCGCGATACTGTGATTGACCTCTGTGGTGGTTCCAAGTAGTCCATAGAATATTTGATAACAGAAATTGCAACCGTCATCTGCTGCTTTTTGCAGTGATCCCAAATTGCGATGGTGAAAGTAAAAAGATTCATGGGGACCTCCAACAAGCCCTAAGTCAGTATTCAAAACTGCATCCTCGCTGTAATCATCTGGATTATCAAATTGCCATTCGTCGCAAAATGATAAGAGGTAGAACTTCTCTTCCCTTGTCAAGTCGAGGTATAGCTTGAATTGGATATTTTGACACAGAATACAGAGCATTTTTTCTTCGAAAATATGAGAATGCGAAAAAGATTGTCGCGATACATGACATTAATATACAAAACTCGAATCGAGGCTGAGCAGTCTTGTGGTGTTCTCATGGACCAATCATATTGCTCGGCAGGTCGGTGACACAATTAGGGAGAAGGGGGCTGATGTTGTCACCTAATCTGCAAACCAGGGGTCTGTCTTAGATACGCTGGGGCTTAAAATCTGTGCGCATTTCTCAAGGTCTACCGCATTCCCATCTGGATTAGGGATCCCCTTATAACTAAGACAGTTCGAAGGTCACATAGGAATTTCTGCAATATCAAATTTTCTCCAGCATTTGAAGCACTTTTTTATCACTTTTAGAGTCACTTTTAGATTAATTTCATAAGCAAATAGACCTGCATTTTAAGCTCTATATACAAATACAAGGTTATAGTACCTAGTTCTATAGAGGGAGAGACTCGCTAGCGGGGTTATAGGATAAGGCATTTTAAGTGTAGAGTAATAGAAATATATGCTAGAAATAAGAAGAAGTGAAATGAAAAGCATAGCTTTAGGCTTGCGATCACTAGAGTTATAGGAAGTCCAAAACCCATGCATAAAGAGCCTATATAAGGCTGTAGAATCGACGTTTTACTAGCGTTGATCAGTGAAACTATACCCTGAAAAGTTGCAGAAATATTAACCACACCCTGTAACTCATAACAGGGAATTCCCGGTGCCATAAATAGTTAAATCGCCCGCTCATAAGGCTTTGTTTTCTACGGGATCAGGGAATTAAAAGGCATTAGATTGCCAGAGGGGTCAGTGGAAGAGGGAGTTTGGGGAAATCATGAATGTGGGCAGTGCTAGGGTGAGTAGGGGCCAAATTGGGACCCTCGGCACTGCCGCGAAGAACCTGTCCCTGTCTCAAGGGTTATAATTCCGGAGGGATCCTGTTTGAGCTCCCTCTCTTAGAGCCGACTTTGTC